CTTTCCCTCCACCTGACTTGTATCCCTCCTTTTCCCCCTCCTCCCCTCCCTCTCCCCCTGCCCCAACTCCTGTCTCTTCTTTTGCAGACTTGCATAGCCACCCATGAATCTAATGGGATTGATATCATAATTGCGCTCATCTTGAATGACATAAACCCTCTCGGCAAATACTGCATGGACTTGGTGCTTCAGCTAAAGGTACAGTAAATGTGAATTTGTTTATTTAAATTTGAGTAATAATAGAAGGCATACCTATGCAAGAGCTCTAGGCAACCTGACATTTACTTTATCTTACCATAGCATAATATACTCAGAAGCCTTTGAAAACAAACGTTGCAAATGAATTCAGCTCAGTTTCTGAATCCTTATCGGACCCCCTACCAGAGGCCTCTTGACCCACTGTTGCTTTTGGGAGTATGCCCTCAGCATTTTTTTTTTTTAACCTATCAAACAGACACAATATAGCTAGCATGAAGAGTCTATATTGTGGCCATAAAATCTCATGGGATTGATAAATAGCAACACTGTACAGACATGTAACAAATCAGGCATTCTCTGTTTATACTAAACTCTTGTTCAGCTCTTTCTTGTTTCAACTCTTGTTGTTGTGAAAAAAGAATAATGTAGCAGATGACTTGTAAGGTTGAATAAGGTTGAGAACAAGGTTACAGTAATTTGTATTTTATTTCCCTTCTCAGTGTCCTCTGAGTGGGGGGACAAAGTGGAGAGTGAGAGAGCTTGTAATTTTGTTTCGTATTCTCTGAAGAGCTGGATAGGTTTCTCTGGTCTGTGTGCCATTGCAGGCAGAGGGGAGCTCTGCAGCCGTAGCATGTGCCAAGTAAAGTAGAACTTGTCCAGGAGGAGCCTTGGGTTGTTGCCTTTTCTTGCCTTCTGAATAAAGTCTTTACATTGCAGATGGCCTATTTCCTCCCCAGAACCAGAAAATACTTTGTGGTAGCTGCATTGCATCATACTGGCAACATTATGGGTGTCTAATAAAATAATTAATATAGCTATATATCATGTACAATGAAACACTGAATCAACAGTGCTTTACACATGATTTTAATAACTGTAATTACAGTTTTGAATGGCACTGTAATTCAGGCCCCCCTCTAGCAAAACACTTAAGCAGACGTTTAACTTTGAACATGCAGACATTTCTTTTGAAGTCCAAATTTCAGTCCCTGTTCAGACCTTGTACAGTAACTGCAGTGCCATTTTGATTTGCCATTATCGTGAAGCTGGCAAATGTTTGTAGAACATGTTTTCTGTGTAATAACCAAAAATGGAGTTTAGTGACACTGCTGCAAGGACCAGTTTGACCCTGTTAATAGGCATCTATATATGCCTTATTCAAATAGCAAAAATTGAGATGAATGATACCAAAGGTTCAAACTGTGGAAATTATTCTCATTTTACAGAATCACAGAGTCATTTGGGTTTGAAGGGGCATCTTGAGGTCATCTTGTCCAAGATGTCCAAGCCCTCTGCTCAAGCAGGGTCAACTAGAGCAGGTTGTCCAGGACTGTGTCCGGTTGAATATCTCCACAGATGGAGACTTGGCAACCTTATTCCAGTGTTTGATCACACTCACAGTAAAAAAGTATTTTCCTATGTTTAGATGGAATTTCATGTGTGTTTTAATTTATGTCCCTTGGCTCTTGTCCTCTCACTGGGCACTAATAGGAGGAGTCTGGCTCCCTTTTCTGCATTCTCTCCCATCAGGTATTTATATACATTGATAAGATCCCCCTTCTTCAAGCTGAATGGTCCCAGCTCTCACCTGCTCTTTATATGAAAAATACTCTATTCCTTTAATCATCTTTGTGGCTTTTTACTGGACATATTCCAGTAAGTATGTCTCTTTCTTATACCGGGGAGCCCAGAACTGGACTCAGTGCTGGGCCAGATGTGATTTAAAGAATTAGATCCAAATTAAGATGTTACTGGGTTTTATTTTGAGTGGCAGTACATCCAGATAATATAGCTCTGAGTTTACCAGGTAATGTTTAACACTAACAATCTGTCAGTGTGCATAGGCAACTCTGAAGTTGCAAATACATAAACTTTACATTGAAAATACAGAATGCACAGTAAATAGGCCCACACACTTACACGTACAAACACACTCAGACACTGTTTTCAGGGAACATTATATGTTGAACTCATTCATACCCCCCAACTAAAGCAAAGGCAATGCAGAATTGTATTTTCCCATGCCATCTTAATTTAGCTTGTTTTGCACATAGTTTGTGATGTGGTGTTTAATTACATCTTCATGGATTGTATTTTCCACTGAACTCCCAAATCATTTAGTGAGCAGTGTAGACTGTGCACAGATGGCCAATGTTCTGTTCTGCCTCTTGTTATTTTGAGTATGACCCCCTGGCCTTCCTTGCTGACAAGTATTTTGGCCCTGGCACACTGTATGACCTCAATATCTGCCACTCAGTATAGTGGCAGGATGAAGAGATGACGTCCGTCTAAGAGTAGAGAGAGTCTAATATGAGTGTCTTGTGGGCTTTTCTCATAGCACCCTTCTCTGCTCTATGTAGTTGCTTCACGCATGAATTTTTTTTACCAAAATTCTTATGAGGAGATGAGATGGGAACCCAAGTAAAGAGAAATGAAGGCCAGAAGTACTGTTCTGTTTGTAGCACCTGGGATCTGATTTTTCACAGTACTAATGTCTTGTGAAGAACTTTATACTGTATTTTCCAAGTCATAGACCTCTTTTCTTCACTGGTATCTGGGAATGGAAATCACATCCCAGGGTCTCAAAGCATGTAGGAATAAGTAGTCAAATGGGCATCTCAGTGTCTGGTGCAAGTGACCAGAGAGAAAAAAAAACCCTGGAGGAGGTGCCTGCCTGCTGTAGTTCTAGGCTATGACATGCCACTTATGCTGAGTCAGTTGCAAGAAGTTGGCTGTGATGACACAAAATCCTACCCACTCTCTACCTTTCCTCGCTTCCTGGAAGCTGCAGCAGGCTTCCCTCCATCCCCAGGGTTGTCTGCACAGCTTCAAAGTCCTCCTCACTCATGAGTGAGTAGGCTGGTGCTTTCCTCCACTGTTTCCTCCCCTTCCTTCTAAAGCTACCTCACAGCCTGTCTTGCCTCCTTCCCTCCTTCTCAGTCTGAGATCATATTCATGCCACCAAAACTGATTTGGTCATTTTAGGGAAAAACGGCAGCAAAAAAAAGAGGCATCCAGGTCCTCAGAGTAGCACTCTGTCAGGTGTCTTTAAATGCTATAATTTCACAGAATCACAGAATGCTTTGGGTTGGAAGGGACCTTTAGAGGTCATCTAGTCCAACATCTTGCAGTGAGCAGGAACATCCTCAACTAAATCAGGTTGCTTCCTCCACCTGTGCATGTTAAACTTCTACAATATAGGTTGCAAGGTGCAGAGTTTCACAGAATCACAGAATATTAGGAGTTGGAAGGGACCTCGAAAGATCATCCAGTCCAATCCCCCTGCCAGAGCAGGGTCACCCAGAGTAGGTCACACAGGAACGTGTCCAGGCAGGTTTTGAATGTCTCCAGAGAAGGAGACTCCACAACCTCTCTGGGCAGCCTGGTCCAGTGAGTGCTCTGTCACCCTTACAGTAAAAAAGTTTTTCCTTATGTTCAGGTTGAACCTCCTGTGCTCCAGCTTGCTCCCATTGCCCCTTGTCCTGTCATTGGCTATCACTGAGAAGAGCTTGCCTCCTTCCTCCTGACACTCACCCTTTACAAATTTATAAACATGAATGAGGTCACCCCTCAGTCTCCTCTGCTCCAAGCTAAAGAGACCCAGCTCCCTCAGCTGCTCCTCATAAGGGAGATGCTCCACTCCCTCGATCATCTTTGTGGCTCTGCACTGGACTCTTTCAAGCAATTCCCTGTCCTTGAACTGAGGGGCCCAGAACTGAACACAATATTCCAGATGTGGTCTCACCAGGGCAGAGTAGAGGGGAAGGAGAAAACTGATTAGACCTTTTCAATGGATGATGGTGGTTTGATTCTGGAACAAAAGGAAAGAGGAGCTATGGAAAAATCCATATGGAGTCCTGTTCTCCTTTAGCCAGTCCCAGTCTGGTCTTTTCATCTGTTGTTCTTTGTCCTTATCTCATCCTTGTGTTGACAAGCTCAGTCTTCTCTCTCCTGGCTTCTCACTCAACTCCTAATCTTCTCTCTCAGAATGTCTTAGTTCCCCTGTCATGTATAAATCCTCATTCTATTCGTCCACCCTCCTTCTACCTTCTCCTTCCTTCTGCTGCTGACTTCTGATCCTACAGTCTTCCAGTTGGAGACGTTCAAACCTCAGCTTGACACAGCCCTGTGCAACCTGCTTGGAGCAAAGGGTGAGACTGCTGAAAGATCAGTCCAAAGGAGAGTCTCAAATGTGAGATTTTGTGATCCAACTTGCATGATTTTGGTGTCATTCTGTGCCCGCCAAGAAACTCTAAGGGCTTTTAGCTGTGAAATTCCAGCAAGTTTCTACAGTATAGTATTCAAATCATAATTAAAAAAAATAAAGGTTTATGAGTTGGACAAATTTGGCTGGGATTCCCTAGGGACTACAACTCACATGATTATGTTATCTTGGCCTCTAGTGCTCCAGATTTTCAGCTCTCTTATTAAAACCTGGTGATACAAAGGCTGCTTAAAACAAAAGTTGTTTGAATGTGCAGAAAATGGCATCTTTCTTTTTTGTCTCAGTCCCCAAAGCAGCTGAACCCTTTTCCTCCAAAATTGTCCATACTAATTGTCTGAGGCACACCCTTGCTGTGAGAAAATTCAGTTTCATTTGCTGATGCCTGGCAATAAGCAGGTGAGAAAGAGGTTTTGTGGAGAGTTTTACTGGCCCCTACCTGTACCATGGGACTGCAGTCTACTTCCAAATATTTGCACAGCTTGGTCTGTAATAGATATGGGATGATGAGGGGACGCTGCATCAGGTGAACCAAGGCAACCTCGCTCTGCCACAAAGTAGTCAAATCTCCAAAACCTCTCCTGTTCACAGCATCTGATTTAATTGGAAGTCAGACAGGTCTCCAAAGTCTAAGGCACTACTGAGTTACTGCTGCTAAAGCTCATGCTTTTTAGACCTTGAGAGAGGTCTCGGTGAAAAGCAGCCTGTTGACAAAGCAAAGAACATCTTTATACGTTCCTCAAGTAATATTTGGTAGTGAAACAAAATTCCAGAAACGTATGAAAACAGTTTATTTTATAGCCTTTCAAGTAGTAACCAGTCAGAGTTGGTAAAAACCAAAGGGGAAGAAAGCCTGCCTGAATGATGAAACCTTTCGTGTAATACATTTTGTAATTACCTCTGTTGCATATTGTTTTAGAAGAAAGCCATGGCAAAAATTGCTAGGTGGGCAATAAGGAAAGGAAATGAGATTTCATTTTTTGTGCACAGTATAGAACTCTGTAGACTCTATATTTAAATTAGTATTTTTCAATATTTAAAATACTTCTTCCAATATAGCATGCAGGGTTAGTTAGCCTTACAGTATGCTGGCATTAAAATGGAAGAAAACCACTATTAAATATGTCAGTAAAATAAAAGATGTGAGTAGTTTAAAATCTTATGCGCTAAAAAAAGTGAATTGGGCCTCGTAATCTCAATTAAAACAAATGCAAGGCTTGTTAATCCATGAAATAGATTCTTAAATTTGCATTAACTTGGTTTTGTATCTCTAGAACAATGCCTCCAAGCTTTTGCTGGCTATTATGGAAAGTAGGCACGACAGTGAGAATGCAGAAAGAATCCTTTTCAACATGAGACCAAGGGAACTGGTGAGAAAACTTTTGAATATTCATAAATCTTCTGGCTGAAAAAAAAATCTGTCATTAAAACATTTTTAAAATGATCTGCATCTAAGTTGAAAAGTGTTGGCAGCATATAGTGTCACAATGTATCAGGATAGTACTGATTCACAAAAAGTACTTTAAAAGGATCAAGCATGCATGATTTCGGTCTTTATGACTTCATTATTTTTATCCGTTTCAAGCACTTTTCTGTAATTGTTTCCTAACTTAATTATCATCCTCTGGTAGACTGTCTTCAAGTATACTTTGTCAGGGGCTGGGATATTAAGCTTGTGCATTTTGTGAAACAAAGTGCTAACAGATGTGTGTATATACATATAATAGATATATTTTGTATGTTGTATGTTAAATAAATATGTCTCATAAACAAACAGAGTTACAAGCAATTGTTGCTGTATTTCGGAACACCTGTGATACTTCTGTAGGTCTCCAGGAGTTTTAAATAGGTTGTAAGTCTGGAGAAATTGTTTCCAATCCAATTGACCATGCAACAGCAGTAACTGAAAAACCTGTTTTGTGGAGAGATCTGTGGGCATCAGCCCCTGCACTTGGGCAGAGCCCAGTGGCGTGATGGTTTTGGGGAGTCACCACCATGGTGACGAGAGGCTTTTGAATATTTTGGCATTACCCCAGCGTGCTGCCCAGGTCTGTACTTTCCTGTTCTTGTTGGTTTAGTCGGGGGTTTTTTTGCTAAACTTGTGTGGAGAATGCTGAGTGATACTGCAGCCCACTCTAGCCGGAAAGGAGGTAATGGCTGCACTGTAAGTGCTGCAAGACTCTACCTGTGGTATCAGTAGATCTGTCTTTGAAAGCATTTGTGAAAATACCTGTTCAGAAAGGCTCAGCATCCCTCTTCCTTCCTCATGGTTGCAGAAGTTTTGCTGATGAGAAATGTAGCAGTTTAAAACTTCATGAATACTTCAAGCTTGCCTTTATTCAGAAAGTGTTTCTCAGACTGCTCATTCTTCTTGCAGGATTGCAGAGCACCCATCCAGGCTTGAGCTGAACAAAGAGAACATGTTCAAACACAGCAATCAGTGCTTTTTCCCAAAAAATGACAGTTATTTCATCTCTCCTTCCTTGGGTTTGTGTTCCAGGTGGATGTGATGAAGAATGCATATAACCAAGGTCTCGAATGTGACCATGAGGACAAAAATGGAGATGATGGCATCTCCCCAAAAGATGTTGGCCATAATATCTATATTTTGGCACATCAGGTATGTCTTACTTGTTGTGTGACTGCTTCCAGGGAAGAGTTATGTGGTTAAACTCCACACAGAGCCTGTCTCATCAGAAAGGGGTGTTTTCCCTTCTTGAGATTTCTGGCGCATGTTTGTGTACAGCATGATTTTATCTGGAAAGTTGCTGAAGAAGAGGACACGTAAGCAGTCTCACTGTATGAGTAGGCACTCTATGGGCTCTGGTAGGCTCTATTTGTGTGAAATAGTGATGTAGAGCAAAGTAGTTAGTGTCCGCTTAGCTTTGTCCTCTTTTAACATTAACAGCTCATTTATATCAATCAAATCATAAGTCACATTATCATTATTGGTGTATTTTAAGTAGTACCTTCAGTTGTCATACCAAGTGAACTTGAATTGAGAAGATTCCTATTATTTTAGATATATTAGTTAGCCAGTAAGAATAATTGGGCCTTTTTACTGTTTTCTCCTTTCGAATTATGTTGTAGTGCCCTCAAGGTTTTTCTGATCACTTTTGCTTCTCTACTGGTAAAGATAGAACATACACTGAAGGTTTTTATTTAATGGGATATTAATTCTTCAGAGCAGTTGGTATAAACAATAGTTTCTTTTTCAATTATGTTAAGAGTATTGAAAAGATTTTTTTATATTAAAAAGTAAAGACCAGAGATTTCTTAATTATATCATAAACAATAGCATTTGGTATTTCATTTAAGGGCCAAATTTTTTAAAAATGCTTTCTCTAAGTAAGAAGAAATAAACAGGTGCGGATAGGGAGTATTCTACATTCATTATGCGTATTAAGTGCTGTTGGAAATTGAATATTCAATGGAAAAAGAAAATAAAGCAATCTATCATTACACTAGTATTATGCAATGTTTTTTTTCAAGCAAGGAGTGAAAAAAACAGTTACTGAGTTATGCTCTTCTGCTTGCAGCACATTTAAATAAGTCTTGTGATGATGTTGTTGTGGTTGACCATGTTCTACTCTTGTGCTTTATGTAGGACTGTACATAAGATACCCATTGAAGATTATAGAATTTTTAGAAAACATCTGTAGCTCCTTATCTTGTATGACCGTTTGGTCCTTGTATGAATGCTTATAATGTACATGTAAATGCCTGCCAAATTGAAATGTTGGAATTTTATGTCTTCTGCCTACAGTTTGTGTTAAGTGACTTAACACAGTTCGTGACAACTGAAAATAAGTTTTAGGGAGTAGAATATAGGCTTAAATCTGTATTTGAAGTGACTGCTGGAGTCATTTTACAAAAGAGGCCACTACCAAGGGTACACTAGCTGGTTGAGGTGTAGATTAAGCTCTGTCCCTAAGCACGTATTCAGGGTGCTGGGGAGGTGCATGATGCCACAGCTGTTCCAAATGCCTGATCCATACTTGGCATTATCATTGCATAAGGCTGGATATTTTTACAGCAGTTTACTGAGCTGCTTGCTTCCTGTTCTGTAGAATAAAATGGCTTGACTGGCTCGGTATGCTGTAAAAATACCCATCTTTTTACAAAAAAAAAAAAAAAAAAAAGGCTGTTTTCCTCTCCTTGCATTTCTATGACACAGTACATGTGTCTGCTTACAATAGCTTTGCACCCGTGTCAAGCTCCATATCAAAACAAGGCAATGGAAGGGCAGGCAATCTGGGGCCTTTCTCTCTCCTCCGCTAATGAAAAGCTATGATTCTTGGCACAGACCTGCTGGTCTTTGACCCCAAACTCTTTCCATGTGTGCCCTTCTGCTCACCCTGGGATGGGCAGGATACGAACATGGTCCCTCCTCAGTAAGGCCATTGTTGCCAGGTTCCTTTGCTGGCTCCGCTCTCCAAACACCCTCTTACACTTTGCTGTGTTGGAGTGGCTTTTTGGTGGCTGGGCCTTTCACTTGGCTTAGCTGACTTGATTTACATAATATTTCTTTACTGTGCTCCTTACAGTTTCACAGTTCATCTGACTTATTTTTTCTACAACCAGTGTGGCTCTTCAGTCCCATTTCTGGCACTTGCTTGTGACCACTTGCTCCAGTTACAGCTTTTTGATCCCTCTGTGATAGCAGAATAAAGACCAAGAGTTCCTCTTTCTGCTGTTACAGCCCTCAAACACAGACAGTTTATTTTGGGGAGCTCAGACTTTCAGTTTTTGTCGTTGCACTCTTCAGGATGATGGTGGGTTCTGCATTTTGCCACCACTACATCCTTCCTTGCCCTTCCTGTGGTTGATTTTACCAGAAGCAGAAGGCAGAAGGCATTCTTGTAAACGTTTGACCCACAGTGCATAGAAAGTTATAAATATGTCACAAGCAAGGCTGAGATTTCTGTTATTAAATCCCCTTTACAGCCTCCCTACCCCAAATGCATGTGCAAGCACACGTATGCAAGTACATGTGACACATGTATATCACACACACACACACGTACATCACACACACTGAGGTGTGTGGCCACAGCAGCCTGGGACATGATGGTAAGAGGCTGACTGTTAATGTGCCGAGTCATGACAGTTATCACGTCTCCTCCACATGTTTCTCTGTCCCCTTTTTCTTTCCTTTCCTTTATTTCTTCATCCTCCTCCAGCCTGCCATGTGCCGTAGCTGTGCCGCTTCCCCTGCGCTGACTCCAGGCTGTCTGGATGCTGCCGCCTCCCCACTTTTCCCATTTGACGTATGATGAGCAGAGAGGAGAAGGGAGTACCACTGAGAGAAAGCTGAACTGACTTATCCATGAGGGACTATCCTGAGCTTCACCACAGCTCTGCAACCTGGCTTTGGAGTAGGGGCTCCTTCCAGACGTAGCTCTTCTACAGCCGCTTGTGGAGGAGTGACACAAACTGGTGCTTGAGGTCACATCCTGGAAAAATAAGCCTATTATTGCTAGATAGAGAACATTCACAATTCTCTTGAAAATCCATGGAAAAGTTTCTGTTTTCTTTGTCTTGTTCAAATGTCACGCTCAGAGCCAAGCCTTGAACTTGACATTACTAATTTCTTACTGTAGTCTCAGGTGAATGGCAGTGGTGTGTTATCGATACTTCCATCTGCTCTTACACTGCTTCTTTTCCAGCCTCAGTCACAAGAAATTTGTGTGGTATTTTTATTACTGTCCTTTTAGAAGTTCCTGTTAAAGCAGGCTACACTTTGTTTTGCAAAGTTAGTAAGGCTGTCCACAAAGTAACTTCATCCTGATGTGATGTCTCTGTAGAGATTACAAAAGCTTTTGACATAGTAGCACAAAAAAAATTTAATACTTACCTCTTATGTGCAGAAGCATTAATATGGGAGAATCAAGTTTTTAAATAGCTACCCAAAAAGCCGAAATCATAAAAAGCTAAAGAAATCCTCTGGCTTTTCAGGTGACTGCATGAGCTTGCTACTTTTTAGTTATAACAAAGTATTTCAGTAGTCTGTAAACTAAAAAAAAGCTTTCCTGGAGTTAGTAGGACTCCTGTGAGGTTCATGACCCCTTTACGTTTACTATGAAGTAAGATAAGGCACTGGTTATAACCACACACTCCTACAGTTTCGATGCATGTATATATGTGCTTCTGTTAACAGAGAATACTTTGGAGTGTTTCTCAGTGTTTTTCAAGTTGATGCAAACTGTCTAAATCAAACACGAAGCCCAAGGTAATACGCTTAGCAGGACTTTATTCATGAGGGTCAGAAGAATGTGAAATAACTACATAGCTTCTAGTCAGCTTGCAGCATGGCAAGAATGCACTTTCACAGCCTTTAGAGGTGTGTAGACACTTCCTTGATGTGGAAGGATGTGAGTGGGTAGAGAGTAGGGAAGCAAATCGTAATACTGTAACAAAATTTTCAAATTTTCAATGCCTTGTGACTTCCTCCATCTGGTTCCCAAAGCTGTTGCAGGAGTATAGAGGTACTGACGTAGTGTGTCACCACTTCCATGATGCATGTTCTGAGGCTCTCAGACAAGCAAAATGTTTACTTATATGCTCAGTTTTAAGCATATGCTTAAATGCCTTGCTAGAGAGAGAGCGTAGGTCTTGGAATTCACAATATCTTTGTAATCTCCAAGTAATTAGAAGAGTTTTTTATGAGGTTAAGCTAAAAATGTATTTAAATCTCAATGGAGTACCAAAACTACTTATATAATTTCCTGGTGGCACTAAGACTTAATGAAAAGTCATTTCCTCCACCCCATAAGGTTAGAAGAAATTAACACTGCTTGATATCAATGCAGGTATACAGCATAAACGAACACGAGCTTGAACCAGGCTATCTTCTGATAGACTAACACAGTTGGAAGTGTTCTTCCATTGATAAGTTCTTAAAATAAACCAAGGGAAAAGGGGCAGGATTTGCTGTGAATTTTAAGGTTTTTGCTGCAGGTACTACTAAGCATGCTGTACCAATTGGACATTACAAGTTATTCTTCTCCTGTGAGGCAAATTTTAAATGGACTGAGCAAAAGAAGTAGTTCAGCCTTGTTAATATATTAAATTTATTAATAGCAGAATCAAGATTTATTTATAAAGCTTGGCAAGCTTTATCAAACTAATGTCTTATTGCCATGTTTACTTTGTGCAGTATGTGGCATACTACTCTATACACATGAAGAATATTTGCTAGATAGGTAACTAAAATGGTAATAATTGATGGCATGTATTTATAGTTTGGAAGTAGTGGTGCACTACAGGCTATTTTTTTTAAAAGTTACTGGTTTTGACATTTGCAATAGGACTGTTTTGATAATGAGACTTGGATATGATACATTCATTAAGTATAAACTAAAGGCAGTTTTTATAAAAACAGCTATCCAAATACGTAACATTCTGAGAAGCACAAAGCCTTTTGTTTCTTTGGGTGTGTTTAGCTGGCCATTCTAGATCTTTCATCAGGTTTGAGTGGGCTGGGACCATCTTTGTTTTCCACATCAATGCTGTGCCTCAAACTGCGTGATTCTGGGACTCTGATATACTACAGCAGAACAAATCAATGACAATAATAATAGTAATTTCAGAAATATTTAAAGAATTGATCTTTCTTTT